GGACAAAGCAGGACATTAAAATGTTCTTGGACCCTCTATAGGCATGCTGTTCCCACTCTAGCTTCAAATTATGGGTTCCCTTATGGAGTCTTCTAATTCCTTATATACTGTATATGACATGGCAAGGTTTGTCAATCAGATGTGGGCCAGGTCTGGCAACTTTGGCATTGGTTTTAAGATGACATGTCACAGCTGCCCCAGTTGTGGTTTGGTTTATGCGATGCTGTCCCATGCATGGACCACCTCTTGCAATCAACATTTGGGCCACCAAAAGGCCGTCATTACTTGTGGTATCTGTGCTGACTGTTGCTGCATTGACATTGTAGGGGCCAGAACAGGGCCAGACAAATTTTGCTATGTGGGATGCCGATAATCCAAAACAGGCATTGGCTTGGCTTTTAAGTGACTATTACTGTATTCTGAGTTGCTTTGAGCAGTTTGATTTAACACACATAAATAGCCTATTACACTTAGTACTAAAGCTCCCCAAGGTTGTGTATTCAGCACCCTCTATTTATTTTTCACATACATACAACTGCAAACAAATAATAAGTGAGGGTTGGAAAATAACTGGACCAGGAAACAGAGTTTTGCCATTCAGTTCAGCTTCTTTTTCACTGTAATAAACTGGAGCAACATCTGCATTACTCCCATCAGTTTAGACAACATTGTATTTAATATTTGGTTCATGAATTCAGAAACTTGCTGGGAAAACATCTTAACAGTTGTAACCATCTACATGGACTTTTTCAAGACATACAGAGTTCAATATAATGAGCATTTTTTTAATTGATACTGGTAACAAAGTGCACAAGCATTAGAAAACATCACGATACACAACTATGTTGTTACAAAGAAAGAAAACCTAGTACAACAAAACTAAACTAAAAAATACAAGTACATATTTTTAGAAGATTATTTTTTCTTGTGATCCCATCAGGGAGCAAACCTACAACCTGTAGAGGCAACCTGTGCCTTATCTTCCCGGTTAATTTGTCTGTACCAACAGTGAAAGGCAATGCAACATAATGTAGAGTTGCTATGGCAGTGCCTAATCTCTTTATCATTCCCTTTTCCTAAATAGTTTCTTTTTTGTTTGTTTGTTTGTTTGCTTGTTTGTTTTTTTACAAAGTGCTAACCAAGAAAATAATAATACGTATATGCCTGTGGATGCTTCTTTCTGATATCCAGAAAATACCCACATCAGACTTAGTAACACACTATAAAATACACAGTATATATGTAGGTCTAAACGCAAGAAGCAGTATCTAAAAGCACCATACTCGGTCACAATGTGAAAGTTCATTTGTCAAATGAATTGCACAACATTCAGAAAATAATAATAAAATATCACATTTATAAAAACTGTACTTTGTACACTGGATGTATAAGTAATCTAACGCCAACATGAATAAATCATTCACAAAAACGTAATTACACAATCAATTTTGTATAAATTGGCAACATTTCAAGGCACAGTGAAGCACTGCATCCAGTACACTGTGGACATACCTGATGTCTATTTTTTAAGTACCAAAAAACAAAACAAAACATATAACATCAAAAAAGGGGGTTATCTTTCTTTTTAAATCTTCATTAAAATAACAAATAATTAGACACAATCACACAGAAATGAAGCAAATGTCCAGTTTTATATGTTCAGCCTATTTAAAAGATCTTGAGGTGCCAATATTCAAAGCTGAAGACTGATTATACAGGCTGGAGGTAATGTAAATGTCTCCAACAGAAGCGTGCGGGTTGCCAGGATAAAATCTTAAAACAGTGCACACTGCGACAACCTCAGGCTGTGTGCGACTCTATGCTTACTGTATGTCCTCAGGAGGTGAGATTATCATCACCTGGTGTGAAACACTTTGGTAAATGTTTAACAACCAAGCCAGTCCTTTGTGATTTCACCTAACTTGACAATCTTCAAACTGCTGTCTTCAAGTTTGAAATAGTGATTTCCTTTAAAGAAGTAGCTGTAATCTGTAAATACAAGCACACAAAAGCCATGTTTAGGATTAACACTTTATATGTTACCTTTGAAACCACTTCTGTCCAACAAATGCAACAGCTACGTAAACTGAAACAGTCAAGTTTCAATCAAACAATACAGTTGGTTTCAGTCAACAGATTGAAACAGATTAAAATCCTCAATCAAGCTCAACTGAAGCTATAATGAAGCTTATGCTCTCTGAATGATGCTAGTCAAGCAGCATACAGGAGGACCTCTGTACAAGGTCACAGACTTGCTCTATATAAAAGTGTGCATTCAAAGTGAATAGAAGAGTCAGTGTGATGCCTGTGTGTACGCTCAGGGAGCAGTAATGGAAAAATCCAAAGCAAAAATCTGCAGAACTCCCTTAACCCCATGTGAAGCCACAGCTTACTGATCACCACAAGAAGGTTTCTGGGTTTTTCAGACTGATAATTCATTATTATCTATGTAATTTGGTAAATGGCCCAAATCTTAGGTTTGGGAAAGATCTCATATACTTGACAAGTAAAACTTCAATTACACTTTAAGTCCTAACTGGACAAAACTTAGTAAGTGCCACAAAATGGGGATGGGACTCTGTGACAATGCCTGTTACAAATTAGAGACCTCTTCGCACTATTTAAGCCATTGTCTGGCTCTGAGCAGTCAAAGGAAAAAAAATATTTGGGTAAACTTTTATGTACTTCGAGAAGCTTAGAACAGAGTGCTTCTGGCCTTGTGTCCTTCATTTGAGGCATGCAAATATCTGAATTAAGCTCAGTGTCTTTTATCTAAAGAGGCCCCCTCTTTATGGATTATTCATCCATCCCCACTCACCATACCATACCGTACCTTTCCGTACCGTACCATTTTTGTTTATTTTTATTTTTTAATTTTGCTTATTATCTGCAACACCCTGCCCAACGGGCAAAGTGAACACAACCCCTCGTGTTCACTTACAGGCAAATTTAATAACTAAGTAACAAAAAGCAGTTGTTGTACAACAGATGGTTCTGTCTTCCATCACTGTCAGGCCACAGATCCCTCTTTCACTTCAAAGAGATGTGTTTTTCCTTGGTTTAGATTTCCATACATTTTTTATTTATTTGTTGCAGTCAGCTCCTTTAAATCTTGCATCTCTAGCTGAATGGGGTGGCTGTTCTTTGGATTCTAGTGTTTTTTTAAGAGTTTTACTATTAGAGGCATAGTTCCAAACTCATTAATAAGACTAAGGGACTTTAACGGAAGGAGGGTCAATCTATAGACAATAAAGTGGCATGCAAAGGATCAGAAATTTCAAAATACACGCATAATACCGATCTCATAAAACCAAAAGTCATTAGGGCACTTGGGGTAATAGTGTCAATTAGTAAAGCACAATGTGCATTAAAAGTTGTGGCAGCTGCAATATGTGTCAGTATTTATATTACAACTGACCATTAATCTGTAATCCAGTCACCATGTGATCCTCATGCAATCACAGTGCTTGAATGAAATGAATGCAAATAAACCCAGTTAGTAACTTCAAAAGTAAGAAAGCATAGGAAATCACTGCTGTGTCTATCAGAGCTGCTAACTTGGCTGTCCACTCTTCGCCTTGTCATTCARTAATGACTTGACTTCAAACCAGAGGTGTTTAGTGAAAAACACTGCTGAAACTCTTTCTGAAAATTTGTTTCAGGAATATACGTATTATTACATGATGTCAAAAATTTTTCTTAAGCAACAAGACGGTCACATTTTGGAATTTCCCAGGGACAGCATGTATTCAACCCAATTTAAAAAAAATGTATAT